TATCTGCCACCAGATATCAGAATCAACCAGGATGAATTGGATGCTTTGGTTGATCAGCTGCCTACCCCTTTCCTCTTACTTGGAGAAGACTTCAATGGCCACAACCCTATGTGGGGCAGTCTTGATGTTAATTGTAAAGATTTGTAGGTAATCAGCAACTGTGTCTATTCAATACTGGAGAACTGACACTTTCATGCCCCAACAAGAACATTCACTACAATTTATTTGTCATTGGGAACCCCTAACTTGTTCTCAGCATTCTCCTGGGAGATTGGATCTTATCTACTTTCCAGTGACCACTTCCCAATACAGTAGAGCGTCGTTTATCCGAAAGCTGGTTATCCGAAAGCATTCCAGTCAGCAAATTTAAATTTTCGCTAGTGCTGTGGCGCTGCAATCTTCGGCTATTTCTCGGGCTACTCAAATATTTTACGTTTTTGATACTAAATTAACATCTGAAGTATAATTTTTTATTGTTTTTATATTTTTCAATAAATTTATTTTGTTTGTACAAAATAAAAAAATAATTTTTAATGATACAATAGTCTTCGTTAGGCTTAACATCGACGAAAATTCAACGCAAAGCGACATGCAACGGAGAGAAATTTCAACATGGGATAAATTAATATATTTTTTCGTACATGATTCGTTATTCGAAAAATAAGTTATCCGAACCACCCCAGTCCCCAATTGATTTGGATAAACGATGCTCTACTGTATTTTTAAAATACATAGGACGGCAAAGCTGTGAAACAGCTCGTCCACCAGCTGGAAACTTGATAAAGCTAATTGGGCCAAATTCTCTTTGTTAGCCAACATCTCAGATGATTTAGTTAACATTCCCTATATCAGTGATGCAGTTGAAGCTGTCACTTCCAGTATTATCCAGACAGCTGTCAGTACAATTGGGAAAACATCATTCAGATATCCAAAACATGGTGGAACCAGAATTGCAAGGCATCATACAAACAACAAAAGAAAGCAAGGGGGGGATTTTCAGAAGATACACTACTGCTAGCTATTTATTTGCATTTCAAAAAAGGCCAATGCCAGAAGAATAAGGAGACAAAGCCAAAGGGAATCTTGAGGAAGTGTGTATCTAGTAAACATCTTCCACCAGCTCAAAAGCAGTCTGGAATAAAATCCATAAAATTAATGGGAAATATACCTCTCAGTCTTTGTCCATGCTGGAAAATAATGGCACAATAATCATTGATATACAAGGTATTGCTCATTTGTTAGGTGAAACTTTTTCCTCTTCATCTAACAATATAATGTTTCCAGAAATTTTTAAGTTTATAAAGATCAAACAGAAAAACAATGTTTAAATTTTCATTCCTCATCTAATATCTAATGAAGAATACAATGTGCCATTCACCAGGATAGAACTACATACAGTTATCTGTTTCTTGGGGAATACTGCTTTAGGCCTGGATAAAATCCACTACAGCATGATTAAAAATCTATCAAACAATTCCCATAGTAATCTTCTGAATCTGTTTAACAGAATATGGACAGAGCATGCTTTTCCTGACTCTTGGAGGCTGTTGATTATATTATTTTCATTCCCAAGCCAGGCAAAGACTTTCAAGAATCCCTCTAACTACAGACCAATCTCTCTGACAAGTTGTCTCTGTAAACTCTTTGAGAGAATCATCTGATGTTTCTCTTGGAGAAAAATGATTATTTTTCACCACATTAGAGTGGATTTTGTAGGAACAGAAGTCCCGTGGACAATTTAGTAAACCTTGGAACATCTATATGTGAAGCATTTGTTCGACAATAGCACTTAGTTGTAAAGTACTATTATTTTATCGGATCGCTCTACAACAATGCTTGTATCAGAAAGAGCCGTTACCTAATGGATACTTTACGCGGGTTCGCGTTTATTGTTTGCCAGGCCTGGACTTTTCGCTTGCACCAAAGTAAATTAAGGACAAAGTTAGTCAAAAATCAATAAAATGTTTAATAAAGATCTAGAAATAACTATTTACAATATGTACAACAAATCAACAAATTTATTCAATAAAATCAAATCCACAGTCAACCCGACAAAAACTCAATCTAATTCTAACTTAGAACTGTTCCCCTTGGAATTCCGACAAAAGCAATCCTTAACTTAGGTACAGTCTGTAAAGAAATTATAAACTCAAGTGAAATTTCTCTGTGTTTTAATTTCTTTTCATCCACAGTTCATTGTTGCTATATCTAATAATTTTAATTAGTGTTACGAATTTATAATGAAATAAACAAGTCTTTGTATTGCATCATTTTAATAAACAATCAAAAATTTTAATTGTTACAATTTTTTGTTGTAAACAATTTATAAACTCAAGGGTGAAAACTGATTATTACAGTTGAATGGAACAATCCATTCAACTGTAATAGTAATGTAAATTAGTATGTGTAACATTTTGGGTGAGTCTGAGAATTCAAACTAAAAAAGTGACAAAAATGCCAAGGGGAATAACCCTAACTGAAAGTGAAATATGAAAAATCTATTTCTTTAAGGGAAAAGGATGGCCAACTCGAAAAATTGCTTCAAAACTTGGTAGATCTCAAACTGCAGTACAAAATNACAATTATCAGGATGTTTCCTTTAAGGTTTAACAAGTTCCTAAAAGTCTGTGGGGTCTTTCCCCCCTTTCAGTGCGGGCTTACTATCTGCCGCTTGGGCGTGCACGCGAGTGCTAGCTATGGCGCTTTCTTTTTTCGTCAGTGAGTTGGTTTTATCTTCTGTTTTTAACTTTAAAAGGTGACGGGTGAGGAAACCTTAGTCCTAACTAAACATAAGCCCCAAACAAAAATATAATAAAAGCAAAGTAAAAGTAAATAAAAATAACGCTCGGACTTGGTTCCTTACATAGTGTCTGTGTTCTTTTATATAGAGAAGGCCTATGATTGCTGCTAGCAATACAGAATACACCGTGAGCTGCACCAATTTAGACTTCAGGGTAATTTGCCAACTTTTATAAAAAAAAAAAAAAAAAAAACTTTTACAGAATCCAAGATTCCAAGTTAGGATGGGCATCATGTTATCGAGGCTTTTCACACAAGAAGGTGTTCCTCAAGGTTCTGTTTTGAATGTGTGTCTGTTCCTAATTAAAATTAATAGCATAGCTAACTCTCTCCCTTCCAGTGTGAAAAACATTCTGTATGTGGATGACTTTCAAATCTGTCAGTCTAGTAACATTTTATTTAGTCCAAGACCAATTGTTTTACCTTTAACATGGAGAAGACCGTGTGCATTCACTTTTGCCAAAGGCATGGCTTGCACTTTGATCCTGAAATCCACCTAAATAGGGTTAAAATCCTGCTTAGCCTCAAAGTATATAAGTAGAAAAGGTCATCATTGCTGCGTTATTTATACTGACTCAGTTAGTGCACTTCAGGCTTTGATCTCATCTGAACCTAGTTCTCACTCCATATGATTAAATTTATAAACAGAATTGTTGTCCTTTTGTGAGTAATTTCTTGCTAAAATTTTGTTGGGTCCCACAGGCCATATAGATATAAGAGGGAATGAACAAGTACTCACAGCTGTAAAGTCAGCAAGTCCTTTACAGCATTCAATGCCTATTGAAGGAAGTGACTTGAAGCTAGTCCTTAAAAAACAAGTAGCAGATAAATGGCAAAATGTGTGGAATGCACAAGTTCACAATAAACTAACATGAGATCAAACCTTTGATAGAAAATTCGACACAGTGAGGTTTATGAAAGGAGAACTGAAGTAATCCTCACCTGCCTGAGGATTGGATATACTTGGCTGATTCATCGGTATCTTTTGAAGAGTGATGATCAGCCAGTATGCCACTATTGCAACTGTACTGTAAGTGTTAAACACATACTGTGCGAATGCCTTGAATTTGAGGATGCTCACACAAGTCATTTTGGAAATGGAAGCTTGTCAAGAATTTTGGGTCACAGGCCAAATCTTGACAAGGCACTGAACTTTCTGAAAGTCATTAATTTTCACAGAGAGATTTGATTATGTTTATTTATTGTAATATAGTTTCCAGAATATTTTGTCATTGTTGTTCTGATAGTCAAATCATTACATTTTGTACATGTACTTATTTATTCATTTATTTCATGTAAAAACTATACCATGTGTCATGGCCCAAAATAGTCTGTATGGCTCTTGCACCAATAAACTCCAACAAACCAACCAAAAGACCAATGGAATACCTGCCACTGGACTGGTGTGAAACTGGTCTTGGTGTTTTTTTAAATTTAAATACTGTTTTAATAAAGAAATTTATCAAAATTCAACAAAATTACTCCTTTTAAGCATTTGTTGTTTAAATTTTATATCATAGTGTTTTTTTTTTTTGTGGTTTTAGGCCCCTTACCACTCAGAGATCACAAAGAGGCCAAGAAGGTTATGTATTTAAGAGTGTTTGCATGGTTAGTGTCCCTAAGTGGGCTAATAGGTGTCCCAAGTAGGGCTCATAATGACTAGTCCTTTGTGAGAGCTCATAATTTTACATGTATGTATATCATAGTATAATTGAAAGTTATCAGACTTCCTTCCTGATCCCTTTAAAGTCCTGTTTTGAGTGTTGAGAAAGATGAGCAAGCTCTTGCCAGTTTATTCATCTCTTTCTTTGCTGAAAGTGAGCCTATGAAAGAATGTTATTTTATGAAAAATTATTTTGAGTAAACAATTATGTACAAAATAAAAATCAAGCTTTTATACATTTATTTAAAACTATGTTTAATTAATTTATCTTGAATGTAATGACTTTGCTCTAAAGTATAAATGTTTAAAACAGTATGAAGTAGAGTTATGTGGAATGACTAAAATTTTTTAAACTGTATACCCGTGAATTGTAGATGCATTTGATAAGATATTAAAAGAGTTATACTCTGTTATAAAATTTATAAAGTTTATAAAAAAAATTTAGTCTATGAAAAGTTCAAATTATTTTTATGAAAATTTGAGCATTATTTTTGAATTACAAGGAGTTTGCTTATTTTAAGTTATTTTAATATTCTAGGATGAAGAAACTTGGTTTGAACACATATATGTATGCTCCTAAAGATGATTTCAAACATAGAGCTTATTGGAGAGAATTATATACAGTTGAAGAAGCTGGTAATTAATACATTAATTTTTCAATAAACAAAATATATTTATAGAGATTTACATTTATAATTTTTCTGAATATAATATTGTTAAAAAGAAGAAAATCTTCATTACTCTTAAATATTAATCTTTTTAATAAAATTTAGATTTTATAATGTTTTAAAATTTATACTGTTTGTTGAAATATGATTCTATACTTATGGAAAATTAAATCGATATGAAAATTAGTATGTTTTTTGTCATGTTTGTTTCAAAAACATGAGAATACAATGCTTTGTAAGACTGCTAAATCTTTATATAAAGTGTTATGTTTGATTGCCATCAAATGTTATAATTGTTTTTATCGTTATCAAACATTGTAGAAAATACTTTAGTTGATTTAAGAGAAAAATTCACATAAAAAGGCATTAAAGAACATTTTTAAAAACGTTTTAATATCCTGCAAGTGCTTTCAACATATTTATAAATGTTATCTTCAGGCAGAACTGGAATGAAATAGGTTTTCAAACAAGATTTAAAATTGGAACAAAAATGATATTAGCCTCTTAGAACATAAGTTTAAAAATAAAGAAATATTTAAAATACGTGTAACAGTGTTGCACATGCACTTTACTGTATAGAGAACAAGAATGGTGTTAGCCATTTAGAACATAACACAAAATTTAAAATATTAATTTAAATTTGCATAACATCATGCATATGTCTTACAGTGCAGGAAATAGGAATGGCACTTAGCCGCTTTCTATGCAGGACCACAGAATTCCTCAATCAATCACACACCGTGATCTTACAGGAGGATCCAACTCCTTCCGTGTTAAGACAAAGAAAATAGTGACCCTCCCGGTGTAACTGCTGTTCTTTCAAGATGCTTAGACCCCCCATCCAACATTGCTTGCCCCAATACTTTAGTTGTAAAAGCTTACAGTATCAATTTTAACAAATTAAATATATTTTCATGGAATGACTGGCATTCTGATTTAAGTGAGGTTATACATCCCTCTCTAGAGAGCACATGAAAAAAATGAACAAGTTTTTATTCTAAAACTAGGAAACTGTCAGCATTACATCAAAAACTATGATTATATGTTTAATTTCTTCATTTTGTCGTCTTTCTAAGGATATAAAATACTCTAGGAGTTCCAAAAATGCTTTTTTTTTGTGTGTGTGTGTTTTATTGTTGTTTGATTCAATAATACAAAAATAAACATATTAAATTTAAGAAAGTTGCTGAAAATTATCTCAGCTTACACAGACTAACATCCACATTGTGTGAAATTTGAGAGGAATATCTTATTTTTAAGGTTGGGGTAATTGGTTAGTGTAGCTCACATTAACCACCACCACCATCAATAAATTGTTAATTGTTCTATTGTTTTGTAAATGAAAATTCTCTTCCTGATTTAAGTCAGTCAAATTACAATGTTATTATTTTATTGTACTGGGAAGAATTTTGTTGTTAACATTTAATTAACAACTAGTTTTGTTAGATCTGATTAATTTTATATTTTAGTCACAGTTTAACCTGCATGCCAGTAACCCCAAGGTTTCTAGCATGCTGGTCTTTCTCGTTTATATGCAGCATGCTGGTCATTCCCTGAAAATGCAGTATTATTATAATAGTTTGCATGCTTTTTTAATTATAACATAGTAAGTACTATAACAATTTTTGAAAAGATTTGATCATAGACATTTTTATCAGAATTATAAATGTACCTTTTTAGAAGTATTTTTATATTGTTCTGACTGTTGTTTTCTTTTTGTTTTCAAATTTATATAAATAAATTTAACTAAATTATTATAAATCATACAGATTGTTCATGTAAATTATATACACTGTTAATAAATTTTATAAGATATTACTAGCAATGCTTTGTTAAATATCTTAAACAGTAGATTTTATTAACAATATCAGTTTTATTTATTTAAATAAGTGTGACTAAGAATATTTATAAAGTGTTTTATTTTTTTGTCATAAAATCTGATAGATATTTGGTAAAAAAGCAGTGCTTTATTGAAACAATTTTTTTTTTCATAATTATTATTTATTTCAACAAGAAACTTTAATTTTCACAATTTTAGATGTAATGAAAAATTTGCCACATCCAAGTAAATCTTTATACAAAGTAGAATGCACAGAAGTTTTTGTTTTTACACAAATAGCATCATTTACTATTGTTCAATGAAGAAAAATTTCAGTCTGTAATTAGAGGTCTTGATGTAAAATTGTCACTTGGCAATATTTTTATTAAACTGGTGATAAACATATGGCAATAGCAAGTGGCAATAAAAACCCTAGTGTACTATATTCAGCATGAAATTGAATCACAAAGCACACTTCATGAAAAGCAGCAGAATGTCTAGCTATTGAGCAATAGAAGTTCCATGCACCATAGAACTTGCAATGTTGTGATGTCTGTCACACAGCAAGTTTGGGTGGAAAAGTAGAACTGATGTTGAGAACTGAAGGCAGTTTTTGTGCTATGTCACCCAGTGTTTCCAGATTAGGGATTTTTTATTGATTGACAGAAATTTTAGGGAATTTTTTGGAATGACTTTTTCTCACTTTGATTTTTTTTCAGTAGACTTAAACAAAAATTTTGACATGACAGAATGTCAAATACTGTTTAAACATTGTGATCAAATGTTTTATTTGGAATTATTCATTAAAAAATTATTCAAAAATGATTTCTATTGAAACAAGGAGAGGGCTAGACATTTGAAACAAGGAGAGGGCTAGACATCGAACGAAACTCAGTGAGCATGTAGCCTTAAACACAAACAACTCCTTGTCCAAATAAATGGACTCACTTCTCAAGCATTTTTTTAAAAAAAAAAGGGCCTCTGAAAATTGAATGTTTATTTATAAGTCTTTTGAAATTTCACATTTCTAAGTTGCAATAGCTGAGTGGATAAGACACTAGGTCAGTGTTTTTCAACTGGGGTGCCGCAAAGTTTAGAGCCTTTAGGCATTTTCTTGGAAATTTACTTAAGTGTAGTATAAAACTTCGAAGGTTTGAATTACATTTGCCTAGCATCTTATCCACTTGGCTATTAATGATCAGAGACATGAAACTTCCAAAAACTTATAAGCTGAACACACAATTTTCAGAGGCCAATTTTTGGAAACACTTGGGAAGTGGGTCCTATTATAGCTGTTCCAGCAGCATGCATTGACAATTTTCAAAAGGAATTAGATGTAAGAGAACTCATTTTTCATACATAAAGATTATTATTTAAACATCTGAAAAAAACTCACTTTATTTACACAATAATTTTACTTTCTCAGCTGTTACGTGCATCAGAGGGAAGGTATGGTAATCAGTCAAGAAATGACCCTCCCCAAGATTTCTACATTGTTTTGGACTCAGGACCTCCAAACATTAAGAAATGCAAAAAAAAAAAAAAATTGGGGTGTTTTTTCCTGTATGTATGGATGTTACTGTGGGGGGACATGGGTTTGTTCACCCTTTTTGAAACTTAATAATGCCTGTGCTTTTTGTCAAAAGTTTCTGAAATTTTCAGGGAGGTATGTGTATTAGGGAATTGATGCTATTAAATTTTAATGGTTAAAGGTCTATGTATCATATCATAGGTAGACCTATTATATTTATATTTTAAACTACTGTATGGCCTATTAATTGAAAACAGCAAAAAAAATTATTTATTGTTTATCTAACTGCATCTTCTAACAAATATATACCGGAATATAAAGGGAGGTTGTGTCATATCTCAGGTAGGGTCTGACTTACTTAACAATTTTCTTTGTTGTTAGCATTTACAATTATTTCTATAAAACCCGTTCTGTCCTCAAAATTAAGGTTTTTGCCATTTTATAATAATTAAAAATATTTATAAATAAAATATCATAACATATGGGGTGCCACATGTAGTTTTACATGTTGCCAGGAAATTTAAGCAGCTTGTTACTGGATTTTTTTTCTTGGAAACTTAAGGCTTCAAACAACATTTCAAGCAGTCTGTCCTGGATACAGCACAGAAATCATTGATTTTCTTTACACTGCTGTGAAAATTCACCTAGATAAACTGCATCATTCACAGATTCAAATTGTGTTGTTTTGCTGGGAGGGACCTGCTTCTCCTAACAAGTCTCCTTCTGTGTTGAATTAAAAACTTTATAATCATATATACTGTCTTTTAAGTAGATTTACACTTTAGATGAAAACTTAAATGCTTTATCATAATAGAAATACAAAAAATCACTAATGCAATGTTGTTTTCAATAAACACAGGAAACAAAATCTTTCTACAGAACTGTCTGGATGTACACAAAACACAACAATATGATAGGAATGTTATATACATATTGTTTTCACAATCTCCACAAAAAAAGAGCCAATTTATTCAAAAGGCGGCAAGGTGATGGTTCAGAGATGGTTTGGGGAGCAATAGCATACAGTGCAAATTGCAATTTAAAATTTCCACATTTTGGGCATATTATGGCAAGGAAATGAATGGATTTTTCAGCATGATAATATCCTTGTTCATATGGCTCAGATAGTGAAGGAGTTTCTCAAGGACAAAAGGATAGAAGTAATGAAACAATCTGCCCCCTCATAGGATTTAAATTCCTTAGAGGATGTTTGGAAATATTAGTATATGCTGTTTAACTTGAATATAGCACAGTGACTGAACTTAAAATCATAAACACTTGGAAAAAATGTTCCTCATCTAGAAATACAGGACTTTAGATCTTGGCATGTCAAACAGACTTTTTGAAGTAATAAAAAAAATCAAAGTAAACCAACAAAATATAACTGAAAAATTGGTCCTGCAGCTAATTTTTTGTTCTTGATTTTGATGATAATTTGTTATTTGCAATTTGCAAGATAACATTTTTTAATTTTGTGAAATAAGTTTTTCTGCTTCTCATTTTAAAAGCCTATTGTGCAAAATTCTTGTTTTTATTATTTTTGAAAATGTATTAATTTTTTAGATGTGGCTAATTTTTTGTTGCTTATTGTACAGTACATATAATAATAATAGAGAATTTATGATCATGTGTATAATTTTATGGTGGTGATAGTGAATAGGTTTTATTATATAAACTCTAATTATTTTAAATGAGAATATTTAATTTGTACTTTTGCTTTATTATTTAGAACATCTTACTAGTCTTATACAATCTGCAAAAGAAAATGGAATTACATTTTATTATGCACTATCTCCAGGATTAGATATAGGCTATTCAAATTCAAAAGAACTTGCCAGTCTAAAGCGCAAACTGGAACAGGTAAGTTAATTAATTAAATTTAAATTGTTACTAAAAATAACTTTATACAACTTTTGGTTGAATATTAAATTGATATAGGCTAAATAAAATGATTTTCAATAGGTAACCTCAACTTACCCACTTAAATATCTTTCATGCATTGCATGTTGTGCATGCAGACCAATTAACAAGGTTATGCCTTTTAGAGCCAAAAATTGGCTCTATTATCCACATTTTAACTCTGCAGTAGTCTTGTAAGGTTGACTGCTTCAGTTGCATTGCGTGGTGTCTTACATATCCCAGTTTTTATTCCAAAATTTGAAATTATCATCATCATATCAGAAACTACAATTATATCTTTAATTTTATATTTTGTCTTTTTTATAACTTATTAACTTTTTATAACTTGTCTAATAGATAAATCAATTAAACACACATGAAATTTCACTTCGCTATAAATTATTTCAGGTTTTATGGAATGAGTTTGTTTATAATTGGAGAGGGATAAGTTGTCTTTCAAGGTCAGGGTAGTAAAACTTTATTACTCTAGAGCAGTGGTTTTCAGCTGGTTTGCTGTGAAAATTTTTGAAGGTTATTAAATAAATTTTTTTAAATAAATTGTTTTTGAAAGAAGCCCAAAGAACAATGTGTACATGTCAAATATAAAACTTCTTTAAATTTGATTATACAAGTTTTCATTGTTATAATAAATAAACATATGCATAATGTACAAAAAAATACATGTTCATAAGGAAAATTATATATGCATAACACTGGGTTATTTCATTAAAAATGAAATTTTATTTAAATGAAAAATGTATCTATACTTGTATATAATAAAATAATTTGAACTACATATATTTATAACTTAGAAATAGCAGGACATTGTGCAGGTTTCCAAAGGCTATTATCATGCCACTTTTAAATACAAATTAAGTCATAATGTTAATTGCTTTTTTTAGATCAGGTTTCTCATTATATGTTCAATTATAATAAACCAAAAAAATAAATAAAACTTTATAAGAATTTTAATTATTATCTACTTATCAGAAATTGCTTTGTGTTAATAAATAAATAATGAAAAATACAATTTTTTTTTATTACAATTCAAGTGTACTGTGACACAAAAAAGGTTGAAAAGCATTGCTCTAGAAAGTCGCAAATATAACTATACATATTATGTATTTGAATATTGTTTCAATGAATTTAATAATACAGCTACCTGTCAATGTGCAAAATGGCTACGAATCAAGTTACACAAGACAAACGGAAATTGGCGAGTCCATGATTGATTTCTGTATCGAATATCATTTAAATGTTTAAAAATTGAAATGCAGTGAAGTTCGAAAGTTAGGAATTTTCAAAGGATAGAACTGTTTTTTGTGTATTCATTCCTGATGAGGGCCTCTAAAAGACAATTGAAAACGTTTGAACATTAAACTTTCTTTGTTTATTATGTGCTGGATTTTGCATTTAGGTGTCAGTTAGTTAATTATTTAGTTCCAGTTTAAATGTGCCATTTTTTGTTCAAAACTAAATAACTTCTATGTATTATGTGATTGTGGCAAGAGCACCAGAGGATGCTTTTATCATTTTTTACATTTTAACTACGGAGGCAGTAGCCTAAAAAGGAAGGTCGTCTCCGTGAGTATTTGTGATTTTTATGAACTGCTGATGGTGCGAACAACGAAAGAAATGACTGAAACAAAGAAATTTTTCTTTGTAAAAGTTGTATTTATTTTTAGTACAGTCGACCCCCTATAAGATCATAGATACGTTCCATTCTTTAGGAATCCGATTTCTTACGAGTCCTTCCAATCACAGCCCGACACGTGTGAAGTTTACGGACTGTGGCTGATTGAAAGGTTTTCTTCCATAAAATTAATCGATTCTAGACTAATCCAACTCAACATTTCCAAAATACGTATAATTTTTTGGAAATAATCCGTATAAACTACGCTATAAACAAAAAATTGTAGGATTACTTACCGAGTGCTCACGGAGTCACCGAGTGCTTACGGAGTCGCGGAACAGCTCAGCAAACAGCGGCTGATTTCTAACAACTTATTTTTCTGCGAAAACTTCATTGAACTTTGGAGACATCATTAATATAAATAATTTTAATCGCCGTTGAATAAGAAATGTTTCTTTCACAAGAAATGTATAAAATTACAGTACTGTATTAGACTTACGGTACCTAATTTGCATACTGTACAGACGATAGTTAGCNGGCGGAAAATAGTTCGGCTGCCTGATGACGTTTCACGTAATTATAGAAGTTTTTTTAACCTTTTTTTTACAGATACCGTCGCAATTTTTTCGCACTTTTATAGGAATCGTAATTATAGGGGGTCTACTGTATATTGATATTAAATAATCGTTGGCCATGTAAACTTATTTTTACTTAAATAACTTCTATTTATAAAAAAAAAGCTTTCAGAAAATAAATTTTTATTTATTTATTCATTTATTTTTTTATTTTATTATTTTCTCAAAGTTTCCTTTTGTTATTGTAAAGTATTATTATACAGTGTGTTCAAAATGGGCTTTTAATAGATGACAATGTTAGTTGTAAGTCAAAACTCATATGCACATATCTACAAATTCATACAAAGTCTGATTTACTGTATTAAATAAAAATAAAATACAATTATTTCTAAAACTTAATATTTTAATATAGGTATCACAATTTGGATGTTCTGCCTTTGCCCTTTTATTTGATGATATTGAACCAGAAATCAGTGAAACTGATAAGGAAGTGTTTCAGTCATTTGCTCAAGCTCAAGTTTCGGTTGCCAATGAAATTTATCAGCATCTTTCTCAACCAAAATTTCTTTTTTGTCCAACAGGTAAGAATATGATAAATACTAGCATGTGGAATTTTGACATTTACAATTTATTTTATACAATTCAATCAGAATATATTTTGTTTCTCAAATACGTACCACATACATTTGTATGTAAGTTGACTTGGTCTAAGTTACATCAAAATTTTTAATTCAAAATTTAGTTTAAACACATACCCATTGTACAAGTCAACCCCAAACATATGAACTGAATATGATTATGATACATCGTAGCATATGGCAAAAAAACATAATAAGGCCTCATCTCTATTATCAAAACACTAACCATAATATCTTCAATATATTATATAGCTCATACAAAAATAGGTGTAGGCAACAGGACCTATACAGAACATAACTATTGCTAAAAATCTTAGTAAGAACTCTGTTGTGAATCATGTTTAATGATTCACTGGTACATTTAAAGTTAAAATCAATATTGCCAATAAAATATTAATAAATAGCATATCATGATAGTAGAGCACTAGTGTGCTTTACTTTTCCAACTGTATATATAACAGAGGGAAAGTGTGGCAGTCAGTCAAAAATTGATCCCTCCAAGATTTTTACATTTTTGGACCCAGGATCTTGAAACATCAAGAGATGTAAAAAAAAAAAAGTTGAAGTTTTTCTGTATGTATGGATGTTAGTGTGTGTGTGTGGCACAATTTTGGTCACTCTCTTTGAAGCTTAATAATTCCTGTGCCTTTTGTTGAAAATTTCTGACATTTTGCGTGGAGGGGATTGATGTTATTAAATTTTGGTGGTTAAAAATTAAGGGGGTGGAGAAATAGAGGGTGTCCTGTGTCATATTTTGGGTAGGCAGACATAATTAAGATTTTACTTATTATTAGCATTTACAATTTTTTTATAAAACTCATCCCTACCCTCAAAATTAAGCTTTCTGTCATTTTGTAATAATTAATAATATAAAAAGGTTTTTTAATGAAATATAACAGATGGCACCACACACAATTTAAAATGTTTTTGCCCAGAAAGTTATACAACTTGTTGCTGAATTTTTTTCTTATGCTTTCCCGTTTACATGAATGATATAATTAGTGCATGCATCAGCTGTCAAAAATAGCTGTGTTATAGTATTCATTTATACTGAATTGTTATTATATTAATCTCTACATTAAATAAGTTGATATTTTAATCTCTACATCAAACATTACTTTACTTGGAAATGTTAGTTGTAGATTTCTGGAATTGCAGTGGTGCAAAACAACTGCTTGTTGATCACTGTGATAAAGATTTCCATTTTATACTTTCTGTATAAATTAACTCTTAATTTTGAAGGATCTTTTAAGGCTTATTATAAGTATACTTATACATGGGCATATGTACTATTTTTTTTAATGTTTCTTTTGAAATCTTTTAGCTTTTATATCTTTATTTCTATTCTCTTCAAAAACCGAATAAAAAATAAAACTTTGTTAGCTGAAGACATGTTTTCAACAAATGTATCAGGAACTTGATTCAAATGAAAGTAAAACAATAATGTAATCATAGAGCCAGATTAAGTATCAGACTAAAACTTGCCAAATTAATCATACAGATATACAAAGTTTGGGATAAAGATGGATAGTTATGGCATCACCTTATATTAAATTTATTAATTAGAAATACAGTAGAGCATTGTTTATCCGAATTAATTGTGGGCTGGGGTTGTTCGGATAACCGATTATGTATGAAAAAATATATTAACCTATCCGATGTTGAAATTTTTCTCCGTTGTGTGTCTCTTTGCGTAGAATTTTCGTCGATGTTAAGCCTAACAAAAACTTTTTAAAACAATAATCGTGGCTATTGTATCGTTAAAAATTATTTTTTTATTTTGTACAAACAAAATAAATATATTGAAAAATATAAAAAGCAAAAAAAATATACTTTAGAAGTTGATCTACTATTAAAAACATTTGATTCAGCACAACACACAGTCCTCAGAAAAACACCACATAAGTGCCAGTGCTGCCAGCTAAAACACCCACACCAACAAAAAAAATATTGGAGTAGCCCAAGATATAGCCAAAGATTGCAGCGCCACAGCACTAGCGAAAATTAAATTTGCCGACTGGAAGGCTTTCGGATAACCGACTTTCAGATAAATGATGCTCTACTGTAAATGAATCAGTTTGGACTGTTCTGGAAGAAAAATATCAATCTGGAGCAGAACTCAAATCTGCAACTTCTTACTATATGATGTACCACATAATATCTGTATATTTAATTTATCCATGTCTAGCCCAATAATTCATCCAGCTCTATCATTTGATTATTAGTATAGTTTAAGCTTTTTGCTGACAGTGTTTGTGCAGTGCATATTTTTGTATGCCTATCTAAATTGTGTATCTTGGAGATCCATTTTACTAGAACTTTTTAAATAAATACAAGCTTTAAATAGACATTAAAAGAGAGTATTAATATTTATAGTCTATATTTTAAAATTCTCATTTTAGTTTGATAGTCAAACTTTTATACCAACTTTTTATAGTCAAAATGCAACTGAATTCTATAAAATAATTACATTTTAATTTAGTTAATTAAGTTTTTATTTTAAGCATTATGTTAAATATTATGATTGAATTATGTAACTTAGTCAAATTATAACTAATATTTATTTTCAGATTATTAATATTTGATGTTAATGATAACCAGATTGGTAATGTTATTTTGTAATGCAACTAGATATTAGTGCATCAGTTAATAATTATGCCTTAGTAAAAACATGCATGAAATAAAATTTTAATATTGCAGAATATTGTGCTGCCAGAGCAGTTCCTAACGTTCAAAATTCTGAATATTTAAATACCATTGGTAATAAATTACTACCTGGAATCAATATAATGTGGACAGGTAAGCTTATTGTTTATATTTACTAATAGTAATTAGCATTTATTTTTTTACTCCCTATTTAATACTCCTAAGTAGACATTTATTATTATTTGTAAGAAATTGGATAAGAAAAATCAAATTTTTATTAGTTCTTTTCTCAGATTGGACTTTTGAAACAGAACACAAGATTTAGCTATTAGACCAAATATTCTTGAAATATGATTCAAATTAAAAATGCTTTTTTAATCTTTTGGTGGTTACAATTTGTTCTCGGCAAACTCCAGCCACCAGAGATATTTCACTTTTTTTTTTTTTTAAACAACCTCTTTAATAAAAGATTGTGCCATTTTTTTATGATTGTTCTATGCACATGCTAAAAAATATAAATATTTTATTTTTCTATTTATTTAAAATTATTTTATTTTAATGCTTATTAATAATGTTTGAAACTAAACATGAAAATTTTTCTGTCACTTGAAACATTTCTTTGTTCTTTTCACTAGTTTTATTACAAATAAATTCCTCTTAATATATCTTAATATACACCTGTTCATTGAGAACAAACTGTAACCACCAAAAGATTTAAAAAACATTGTTTATTTGGTTTATGATTCAAGAATAATGTCTTGTAGCAGAAGGGATTTTATAAATACATGTAAATATTTAAATTTTTTTCTGCAGAAGAATATTTTTTACTTTTTTTTTTGTCTAGAACAGTGGTTCTTAACTGGTGTTTTATGGAACACTGGTGCTTTGTGAACTTGGAGAAAAAGTTCTGCCAAAATTTGAAAATTGGTAAAAAAATTGAAATGGTTATTGAGACGGAAAAAAAATAATAACGAAAATCAAAAGTTATTGTTTTTAGTTTTATCATCTTTACTTATACTTAGGTACTTATGTTGGCTTTTATCAATTTTTGTAATGGATTTCTGTTAGAACATGAACCAAATCTGCTTTCGCATGTATGAAGAGCCTGTGTGAAAACAGTTGAATGACCACAACTGAAATATACAGATGTGTTTCTTGCTAAAAAAAGTTACTATTTTTGTTTTTCTTCAAGTAAGTTCAACTTTTTAGACACATTGTCAGTGTCATAAAATGCGTTGTTTTGTAATTGTAGATAGAAGTTCATTTGCGACAAATTGTTCTTAGAAATTTAAATAACTCTAATTTCCCTACAAAGAGTTAAAAAATAATTATTCAAAACTGCAAAATGGACAAATTTCTAAAACAAAAATATGATTCTGGCACTGATAGTGCAAGTACAAGCAATATCAATAATGATACTCACAATAGGGAGAACAAAATAAAAAAATGTCAATAGACAATATTCCAGTGATAATTTAAATTTTGGGTTTACTTATATTGATTAAAATGAATGTCAAATTTCCTTTGCATGGTTTGTGGGGAAAAGCTTTGTAATAGTGCAATGGTACCAGCAAAATTAAACTTGCATTTTACATCTAAACACACTAGCCTCCACTCCAAATACAAGAATTATTTTCAAAGATTGTTGAATAATAAAATTAATCAAGGAAAAAAATTTTTAAAAATCAGAAACAATATCTAATAAAGCACAAATTGCATTGTATAAAGTTGCCAAAATAATTACTAAAAATTTAAAACCACACACCATAGCAGAGTGTCTGATTTTATCAGCATGTTTTTAAATAGTTCAAATTATGTTTGGTGATGATGCCAAAAAAAAAAAAAGAAATTATGAAAATTCCTAATTTGGACAACACAATAAAAAACAGAATTATACATATGTCAGATGATATTGAGAAAACAGTTACTAATAAGCTTTCAGAACAATATTTTGCTTTACAAATTGACAAGTCTACTGAAATCAGCAGTATAGCTCACATACTAGGATTTGTTCATTTCATTGATGAAAAAAAATAGTGAATCAATTTTTATGCTGCAGACAACTTACTGAATGCCCAACAGTACAGGATATTTTTACTCCATTTTGTCATATTTAGATAAATTTGACATAACTTGTGTGTAGGAATCTGTACCAATGGTGTTCCTTGACTAGTTGGTTCTATTAAACGATTTATTAGAATTTTTCTTCTTTGCAAAAGTAATTTTATATCTACACACTATTTTTTACACTGAGAATCACTTATCTCAAAGACATTAAACATTAAAACCTAAGACATTAAAATCCATATTAGACCAAATTGTAAATATGGTAAACTGCATCAAATTGCAATCCTTATAAACACACCTATTTAAAAAACTTTGTACATGTATAGAAGCTCAACATGAATCTTTACTTTTACATACTGAGATAAGGTGGTTATTGCAAAGTGCTAGACCGAATTTTGGAACTTAGTATGAATTGTCAATGTTTTTTTCAAAACAAAGGGAACAATATTTTTAAAACTTTTCTTACAAATGATATTTGCAATATACAAATGGCATATTTAGTTGATATCTTCAATGAATTAAATAATGCAAATACTGGTATGCAAGATAAAAATGAAAATATTCTAACATCCATTGACAAGCTGTCAGCATTTTTTTAAAAAATATTACTTTGGAGAATGCACGTAATTCAAAAAGGACAGTAGACATGTTTCCTTCAGTCCAAAATAAAAATATCAATGAAATAATTCCTATTATAACACATTTAGCATTATTAGAAGAAAAAATTGTGGAATACTTTCACAATTGAATATCAAATATTATGATTGGATATATAATCAATTTTCTTCAGTCACTGCATCAAATTATGAGTTTTCGTTACAAGAGGAAGAATTTATTACATTGTCAGTGGATCATACTCTCAAACAAAATTTTTCAAAATGATACTTGAAGAATTTTGGATTTTTGTTCAAATCAATTTTAAAACTATTTTTTAAAAAGTGATTAAAATTTTATTACAATTTTTAACATTGTACTTATGTGAGCTTGGTTTTTCAACATTAATGAATATTAAGACAAAGAAACATGAAAGGCTGACAAATATAAAAGAGAAAATGAGAGTAGCTGTTTCACACACAAGACCAGATATCGAAAATATTTGCAAAAGTTATCTAGTTCAAATATCCCACTAAAAAATTGTGACAATTTTCTTTTTATTTAAATTCATTTACATAAAATTATTGTTATTTTCTATTTACTGCTATGTAAACAGTTATGTACATGATTTTTAATATATTATGCAATATAAAAAATATACATACTGTTTTATTTTACAACTGTGTTCTGCAAAAATCTTGTAAAATTGTAAATGTTTTGTGATTCTGAAAAGGTGAAGAACCACTTTTGTGAAAAGGTTAAGAACCACTGGTCTAGAAATACTACAATCCCTGAGCAAAAATATAGAATACAGTGGGTGATCAGTTAACGAACATAATCCATTCCAAGACTTTGTTCGCTATCCAAATTGTTCATTAACTGATTATCGATTTACCATAGGTTTCTATGGGAATTTGATTAATTCGTTCTGGAGACCCCCAAAAATAAAAATATGTACTTTCTTACTACATTTATTTATATGTAATAATAAAAATACATATATACATGGTCTTGCATTTTTATTAGTCATGTTTTTTCTGTTTGTGGGGGTTAAAGAATCTGTTTAATGTTGATTGCTTTTCTGTCTTCTTTATGATTTTTCAGAAGTAATTAATAGCATTGTAATTGTAGAGATCCCTAGGACTATTAACTTCAACCTGGTTTGGATGCCATTTTAAGATTGTTGTTATGACATCCTTCCACTTCTTCAAAAGATCTTTAATAGCAGATATCAGCATAAATTTGCATTTTCAGAAGAAAACATAAAAGAATTGTTTCTGTCAGAAATATAAAAGGCTGGAATTATAAGGGAGAGTTTCAAAGTTCGGGGGAATACTATTCGATCACTATATACTGGGTAGAATGTCGATGTCAACGTCTCCCGCGCTCTGAAAAGTTTCAAATTGTTGCCTGAAGACAAAGGAGGACCAATCAGTATTTGTTATTTTATGTCGCCTCTTCTTGTGTTTGTTCAGTGAAGTGTTCATTATCAATTCAATTCAATTCTTTCAATTTAATTCATTATCAATTCAATTATCAATTCAATTCTTTATGGTATTGTACAAATAAGTCTTTTTACACAGTTCTGGAACACTCTGACCATTCTTGATTGTCTTTTTTAATTCTTATATGGTTGTATTAAAGTTTTATTTTGTATATTTTATTTCTGGTGGTGGTAGTTTTATTACAATTTTGTTTTAAAAAAATTCAAGAAATTCTTTTTAATTAATTTATAATTTATTGAAGGTTGAAAAGATAATAGAAATAAAATTTTAAACAAATTTTATGCTAAAAATTAAAATTATGATGTAACATTTTATTTGGTAATGATTGTATAACTTTAAAGTAATAAAAAAAGAATGCTGGTGTTCGTTGAATTATAAAATTATTCACATAATTATTGCTTATATTTTAAAATGATAATTAATATTGAATTATGAATAAAATGAATTTAATTAATGTTTAATATGTATATGCTGTATTTATGTATGATTAAATTTTATCTAAGTTAAAAAGCAATGTAAGAAAATAATTGTAAAATATATTTATTTATTAAATAAAATTTTTTATTTATTTATAGCTTTTAGTTAGTCTCAGCCATTTGCTGTTCCTAAAATATAATATTGCAATTGAAAAAATTTTTTACTGTGTTTGTAATTATTTAATTCTGTTAATTCTATTTTAGGATCCAAGGTTATATCAAAAAATATTACAGTACAATCAGTACAGGAATTATCTGAAGTACTGAAAAGACCACCTGTGATTTGGGATAATTTGCATGCTAATGATTACGATCAAAAGAGATTATTTTTAGGACCTTATTGTGGTCGTTCAACTGATCTTATACCTCATTTGCGTGGTGTGCTAACTAACCCAAATTGTGAATATGAAACAAATTTCATTCCTATTCATACATTGGCACAATGGAGTAAATGTAATGCAGATGGCAAGCGAGATCTGTCAGTCAGTAAGTATAAAATTTTTAATAAATATTTGTTTGGTTAATTAATTTTATCTTACTGTTCTTGGCTATAATGAACAATGCATATTTCTTCATTAGATAAATACAAATTCTCTCCTACTTCAACTTATGAACAATATGACCATATGTCTAAAATTTAAATTTATGTGAAGTTTTCTTGTCACTTGTGGGGGTGGCATTGAAGTTAGTTTTTGCCAGTAATATATAATAAATAATTAATGTGGGCTTACTTTTATTGAGTATTAGCTTTTTTTGTTTTTGTGCAAATTCTGAGATTTTATTGCTGCTCTTGAGGTAGTGTTAAAGTTTGTAACAATGTTTTTTAGTATTGTTGGCAATTTTTATAAACTTATATGATTATTGCTTCAAACATGCATCCAAACATAATAGTAAATCTAGCAGTGGAGATAAATGCAAGAAATGTTACTCTATTACCATGGAAACTAAACTGGACATTATAAAAACTAAGTGCATTAGATGAAAAAATTTTGTAACACCTACTACTAAGCAGTAGCCAGCAGGTAACTGAGTGTAACATATTTTATTAAGTACAGTGGTACCTCAGATACAAAATTAATCTGTTCCGAAACTGAGATCGTATCATGAAAATGTTGTAAGGTAAATCATTTTTCCCCATATGATTACATGTAAAACCAAATAATTCATTCCAACACGAAAAACATTCTCAAATTAAAGCTAAGTAAGGAAAAAAACTTTAGTAAGGAAAACACTGAAAAATGCATTTTGTAGTTGTAAATGTATAAATAACCATAATAGAATAATAATTGATTTAAAAAAATGTAGTTTTATTTGCACTTTACTTTTGCAGATAGACTATGGTGGAGGTGTAAACTAGTGGCTGAGGAGAGGGAGAAGGGAAATAATACTAAAACTTAACTTAATAACATAATGTAACAATAACTTAAACTAATTTTTTTATCTTTTCTGTTTTATATATTTTTTAAAATTTTTCACTGTTTTTTGCTTTCTTTCCTTCACTTCCACCAGCACTTTCACTGGATAGAGGTCACTTGGTAAAATATCTATCCAGAGGTTTGGCTTTGCCTACTTTTTAAAATGTTTCTAAAATGACTTAGGCAAATGTCATTACTCCGAGCAGCAATACAGCCAATGTGAACCTTTTCAGGATGTTTCTTTTCAATAAAATCAGTCAATTTCTGATAATACCTCAAGATTTCTTTTATCGAGCAAGATCCTTCCACGACGAAGCAAACACGCAGACTGAGACCGATGAACAGAAGTGAATAAAAAATGGCACTGCGGACTAATGTAACGTCGTATGGTGAGTTTTTGTTCATATCATGGAGCAAAATTATGTTCAAATTTCATGTCATATCCAGAAAATTTCGTATGCTGGGACGTTCGTATCCTGAGGTACCACCGTATATTGAAGGTTCAAACGCAAAGTGGTTATTCTGTGTACAAATGTACTCTCTACATTAGCTTTGACTTGTGACAAAACCTCAGGAAACTATCCTGTTCATAAGTAGGAGAGCTCCTGTAAAATGTTCTGATGGAATATATAAATCTTGTTTCTTAAATCTAGTAGTAGTATTTGATATGAAAAGTGAGGTAAATTTACAATTACTATAAAATAAATTTGACTTTAGATTTGAAGCTGTTTAAATTTAGTGGATAATTAAAAAAGAGAATTGAAAATTTTTGATAGATGAAAATAGATTAGCTTTGAATAATATAACAATAGATTGAAAAGTAATAAGGTTCAGGATTTGGAAATTGATAAATGAACTCAGATCTGCCTTTGAATTATGTTTATTACTGTGTTTTTGAAGAATGACCAGCATGCCTGAAACCCCAGGGTTTCAGGCATGCTGGTCATTCATGCCAGTACTGCAACTAAAATATAAAATTAATCAGATTTAACAAAACTAGTTATGAATTAAACAATAACAACAACATTCTTCCCAGTACAATAAAATAATAACATTGTAAGTTGACTGACTTAAATCAGAATGAGAGTTTTCATTTACAAGACAATGGAACAATTAACGACTTATTGGTGGTGGTGGTGGTGGTTAGTGTGGGCTTACCCCAACCTTAAAATAACACCTTCCTCTCAAATTTCACACACTGGATGTTAGTCTGTGTAAGCAGATATAATTCACAGCAAATTTCTTAAATTTAATATGTTTATTTTTGAGTTATTGAATCAAATACACACAAAAAAAACACTTTCAGAATTCCAAGAGTATTTTACGTGGTTAGAAAGAAGACAAATTGAGAAATTAAACATTTAGCTTTTAAATAATTAATCTGAATAACACTGACACTAAGAAACATATTTAAAGAGTCCACAGATCATTTTTATTTTCAAATTAAATGTTTTTCAGCTCCCAAATTCCCAAAAACTAATAAATAGTAGTTAATTGTTTATTTATATCTCATTGTTTCTATGATTTCCTCCCTTTTAATTAAAATTTGATATGTCTCAGAATAATGCTAAAATTAAATATTGTTAAATGTTATCAAAAGATCTATTTATATTGTTCATTTAAAATTAATATAAAAGCGATGGAAACAATTATAAGTAAATTAACAAAATAAGATGGTTTTAATAGTAATGTACTCCCATAACAATCTACAGTGCTGTTAAAATTAAACTTTGAAGAAAAACATTTGAATGGTGAGAAATATTTGGATGTAACATTTTCAGACTATTTTGTAGACTGTTGTTAGAATTCTTTATTAATTAATTTGAATCTTGAACTTTAAGCTTTCAAATTGTCAAATCTATAAATTTTTAATTTTTATTTTATTTTATTTGTTTTCTTTAATTTTTAATTAATGTATAAATTACATATAATTACTGTAAATCCTCTAATAAATGCCCAGGTGTCTGTTGAGCAGAATATACTTAATCTCCAGGATTTGAGATCAAGACTCTGTTGGAGACCTGGCGTCTATTCCATTCTTGCAGATTTTCAATCCAAACCAGTGATAAAAAGTGGAGAAATACAGTTCAAGTGTCTTTCCACCATCACCTTGATCATTTTCCCCACCATTCTTTCTCCTAAACAATGAAAACTGCAGATAATTCACAAGAACTTTTCCTTTTTATTTAATAAAAAGGGGCTGTCCATAAATTATATTCACATTTTTCTTGAAATTTTTACTCTCTCTCATCCCATTGTTCCATTTTGTCTAAGTTTCTGTAACTTCCTTCCCTCTTTGAACATCCAACAAAGCTCAACTTTCCTCAAAACCTTTATCACTTTATAAATAATAAAATGCATGAAATGTATAAAATTTAATGAAATAAAATGAATGTCCATTGAAGTCAATTTCTCCCACTTGTCATCACCCCCATCCCTCCTTTCCAGTGTGGACATAACTTTAAAGTAATAAAAAAAAGAATGCTGGTGTTCGTTGNTTTTACTAAATTTTGTATATAGTTATTACTAGAAATTTTATTAAATATTGGATTGTTTTTTGATTAACTTTGTCATTATTTAATTCGGTGCACGCTTAAAGTCCAGGCCTGGCACACTAACGCGAATCCGTGTAAAGTACCTGTTGGAGACCGGCTATTTCCGGCACACAGTCGTGTCAATAATCATTGTAGAAAGTCGGAAAAATAATATAGTACTTTACAATACAACTGGTTCTCATGTGTGCCTAATAGATTTCCAATCTCTCAAGATGTTTGATTGTTTGCTTATTAGTCGTTTTTATAATTGCCGCCTGATCCCATTGCACGTTAACATCCTGTTGCCTTGCATTTGATGCTAACGCAGTGTTATCAAAGTTTCTGCTGATTGTATATTTGTGTTCCTTGAGCCTTTCTTTTAAACTGCACGTCGTCGCACCCATGTAAACCAGCTTGGAATCGAAATGTTGGTCGTGTAAAAGCACTGAATATATACCCATTGTTGAATTCCGATCCTCTTTCTTTTTATCATTTTTTAAAAGTTTGAAAATAGTGGGATTATGTTGGTATACAATGCAAAAATTATTAGACCTGACAGTAGATCTATGTATCTTGTTCAAAAATGTGATGTAATTAAGCACTATTTGTTTATTACAGTCAACCCTGGGAGAATGCCAGTCTGTGGATTGAAAGGATGAAATAAGACCCTCTATCTCTTTCTTTTGGTATCCGTGTAGTTGGGCTATCTTAAGAATGTACTCTAGCTCCCTTATCGTGCCATAAAAGCTTGTACAATGTGTATAAGCACTTTTAATCTATGCTCTGAAAACTGCCAACTTGATGTGCTTGGGATCAACTGATTGGTGTGGGATGACAATGGGTTGAAAGCAGGGTTTATGGTAAATATCAGTGCGTTACTTGATAACACTGCATTAGCATCGTACGCAAGGTAACAGGATGTTAACATGCAATGGGATCAGGCGTCAGTTATAAAAACGACGACTAATAGGCAAACAATCAAACATCTTGAGAGATTGGAAATCTATTAGGTGCACATGGGAACAGGTTGTATAAGCCATAGGGACGCGGACTCATTGTTTACTGCGTGGAGGTCCTTTTACAATTATTAAGTTTTTGCTATTTATTTTGTTTGTTTATTAATTTTTCTTTAATTTGTCCACTAGGGCATTTTTCATTAATTATTATTTTTTTATATTTATTTTGAATGCATTTTATGTTCTATATTTAATATTCTATTTTTGGTAACTGAGGATGATCGTTGAAAAACGGTTGAAAACGTTATTACTTTATTAAATTTTGCTGGATTTATATCAGTGTAGTTTATTTTTCAACTTATTCTACTTCCAGTATGTATTTGTTATAAATTTCCTTGTAAGTTATCTGGAGGCATTCTCTAACCATAATCACCATATGAGCTTCACTGTCCTGGGTAACTGTAGTTGAGATGTAGCTGCTTCTGGCTTCATTTTTCAGGCTTTGTTTTTCCATGTCAAAATTCACCAAACCACCAAGCAAAACTTGTGTCCATGATGGACAAGTGTCTGGAAAGGCTGCCTGAAAGCACACAAGACATATTGACTTGGACAAACCAGATTTAAAATCATAAACATCATTGCTCCAAAAATTCTCACAAGTCATCTGCATTGCTTCTTCAAGTCAAAATGACACCATATTCATTTCTTGCAATTGCATGTGGCAACACACTGGATGACTAGTGACATCTCTTGGTAAAAATAATACTAAGAATTGCCTTACTACATATGCAATAGATGTTGCTTTATGCCTAATACATTTTCTACATCTGTAAACTTTCACTGGCCCTCATATGTATATATAAGATTCATACTTATATATAGTTATAAATATTTTGAATATATTATCATAAAAATGCACAAAGCTTGGCACTATACATAAAAATGCTTTCAGCCACTTTTGGCTAACCATAGATACAAAAGAATGATGTAGAATGCAGTTATGAATTTAAAATTAATTCATTAAAATTAAAATAGAATAAGAAATAGAATAAATAAAATTAAAAATACAACAGAGCAAAAATTATAAAATCATATTAAAATAATTATAAAACCAAAATTAACTAATGAATTATGTAAACAATCACTTTTAGCTGTACATACGTGACTAAAGGCATTTCTATATAAATAATGTTTTAATGACTTGAAAAAAGCAGTTTAATCCTATTTTAAGATGAGATTATTCAATAAATTATTGGCTACATTAATAATTAATTACTAATTAATCATTAACATAATCCAATAATTTTGGCAAAGATCATTTGGCTTTCATCAATTAAAATCAGGTTATGAGTTGTTTGTATATTGAAGAACTTTCTTGGTAATAATATCCGTGTTGCTGACTGGATGATTAAAGTATTTCAGGCATAAGCTTACCATCCAGGAACCAGAGATTGAATCCGGACAGGTTGAAATATCTGAGAGGTGGTCTGTCACACCCATGGTCTTATCATCTGGTTGCTCCATTAGTAGTATGGCTGAACCCATAATGGGCTAAAAGAAAGTCCTTTTAGTGCCCACAGGACAAAAAGTGTTTAAAAAAATTCCCATTTCAACAAAGCATTTTAAAATTATCCAATTTATTTGAAGTTGTTAATTTAAATTCCAACATTTTGATTGCAGTAATATTTCAAATTAGTCAGTGTGTTATAATTTTCATTCTGTTTCTTGAAAATATCTGGAAAAATCATTATTCTTTGTATCTTTATCTCATATTCAGGAAGAATATGCATCATCATCCTGTAAGATGAAGTTCTTTCCTATTCTTTCCATATCTGCTTGATAAAACTTTTCTCTAAATCTATTAATTAAGAATTAACTCATTCTAAATCATGATATGGCTGCTCCAGCTTGAATATGACTAGTATTAAACTGCTTTTCACTTTAATTGAGAATGTTTCTGAAGTTCTTTCAAAATCCCAAAAACAAATTGAATTAAAAATGTACTAAAATATTTTATTATTGTTTTACATTTCAAACTAAATAAATAAAACTGCTTACTTTATAACAACTGTATTTTAAATTTGCAGAAGGTATTCCAAAACCAAACAAAAAAGTTGCATGATCACTACTGTCATCTAAATTCCGAAATCTGTAAAATTTAATTAAGGCATTTGTTAATAAAATTATAAATATCAAATTTTATGATCAATTTAACAAAACTACAGCATAAAAAATCTTTTTTATATTGTATCAAACTTTAATAAAGATAACAAAAAAAATTACAGTAATACCCCGACTCACGCTACCCCGACTTACATGAACCCGAAGTTACGCGATTTTCAAATCTTGTTGATTCATCTTTTGTTTGAGCACCACACAACTCTTGATTACTCACTTCCCCCACACTATTGTTCAGCTTACAAGTTTTGGATGTGTCACATGGAATCGACACATAGCTACAATTTATTTTGTGTTATTTATTTCTATGTTTGTTATATCTACGGAGACTTGAGAGACTATGTGGTGATTTCTTGTAACCATGAATGAATCAAAAGATGAGATAAGGTTAACGAGAACATTTATTAGCTTACATACATCCGACTTGGATTTTACACAAATTGCAAAATTATACCCCAACTTACGCGAATTCAACTTACGTGGTTATCGCTCGGTCCCACCTATCGCGTAAGTTTGGGGTATTACTGTATTATAGTAAAATCTTGTTATTTCGATATCTGATAACTCAAAGTATTGCATAATTTGAAGTTAAGTCTAGTATCTGGCTAAGAGAATAGGGTTTTTGCATAGATTTTAGTTTGGATAATTCGAAATACACATACAATGAAATTTGAAGTCATAATCTGATCAGGTCACCCACAAAAATATCATTTAATTTTCAAAATCTTCCAACAAATTATGTGTTTATAAGGAAAGTTTCTATGCCCAAATGGCAGTTTTATTTTCAGTTTTACTAATTACACACTTCAAGGTCATTTGGATATTTTACACATTGCTAATGAAGAGGGAATTTCTTTTATTTTTATGGAAGAAATCTGTTTCACATTTATTTATTTTGGACATTTTTTGCAAAAATCTATTGTTTGAATAATTCCAAAATCCATTAAATATATATGCATATTTACGATAGAATGCATACATAGCTTTAGCTGTTAATAGAGATTGTTTTCATCAGATCACATGATTTTTGTAATCTCGAACTCAAGACAGTGAATTCTTCACAGAACCAGCTGTTGGTCTTCTAGACAAAATTCATGGGTAATTTTTATTGAAGCACTTATGCTTCTTTTGTATGTTATTTTCAGGTCTTCCTTTCAATGTGGTTTTGTTTTCATTAAGTACATGCCAACTGTTAGTTTTTTGAAATAGCTTAAATTACTAAATAACAACTTGTAATATTAATGCATTTGTAACCAAACAGGTGAAATTATATAATAAAAACTCATAATCTTATTCAAGAATTACAAAAAAAAATTGTTTATATATGTATCTATACACCAAGCTTCTCAATCCTCACTACATGATATTAATAACAAGATTTTGTTGAAAAAAGAGTAATTAGAGTTGAAATAAGTATATTTTAAAATTTAGATATAAATATGTTATCCTTACCTATAATTGAAACATTTTTTAAAATATTTTATGATATATAATTTGAAAGTTTTGGAAGTTAAGTAATTTAGTCATTTAATTTAATTTATTACACGTTATTTCTTTTCTGATCACTTATATTTAAGAACTACAGAAAATGTAAATTTTTCTTCTAGTTTCAAAACAGTTTATGTAAAATCTATGAAGGAAAAAATGCACAATATAATACTATACTATAATTCTAGTACTTTTGAAAAGCAAAAATCAAAAATTAATACAATTAAAAATTTGAAGTTTCCAAAAAAATAGCATTAGATAATTAATGTGTTTAATACATAAACTCTAGCTAATACAATTTTTGCATTAATTAAGGATATTACTACTTAATATTTAGTCAATGTTGTTAATTATCATAATTAAATTCTCTGTATTATATACTATAAAAAATCAAATATAAAATGCTTTTATTTCATAAACATAATTATAATATTCTTACTCTGGTAAGGATGGATTAATTAAATTCTGACTTGAGTGATTTAGCCAAGAATTGTACNGATCGTCTTTAACGATCTTCATCAGTTAAATGATAAAGTAAAAAGAACATTAAAGAAATAGAACATAAATTAAAATTACAAAAAAATAATATATCCCTAATATTATATTCATTTCGTTAAGCGCTCATCATTACAAACGCATGCACAGTTATTATTTTTTCGTAATTTTAATTTATGTTCTATTTCTTTAATGTTCTTTTTACTTTATCATTTAACTGATGAAGATCATTAAAGACGATCAAAAACATTTTTACGATATTAAAGCATTTGTTGGAATATTTAAAAAGGCGATAATTTTGATTAGTTATTATTTTATTAAATTTTGCTGGATTTCGGTGTAGTTTATTTTTTAACTTATTCTACTTCCAGTACATATTTGTTATATAATGTAGTGTCATCTTCAACCTTCCAGTTGTGTATATATTTGTAAATGTTAGAGGAGTTGGCCGAGATGTCTATCCAACTTTTTCCTGTGCTTGATTCAAAAGTTGGAGGTGAATAAGAGCCTGTACACACTAGGCGTTTTTCAACGCGCGTAAAACGCGCGTTTTAAAGAACCAAGAGTTCTATGTAGCCGTACACACTCAAACGCGTGCTTTTGGCCAAGCGCGCGTTAAACGCGCGTTTATAGATTTTTGTTAAAACGCGCGTTTTGCGGGCGTTAGCCGAGCGCTTTGAGATATATGTGCTGCCATGTTACCGTACATGCAATCGCGCGTTTTCCCGGCGCTTCTAGATTTACGCCGCCATTTTGCTGTATATTCGATCGCGTGCTTTTGGGTAATATCTACTTTTATAATATGGAGTAAGTCGTCAAATGATTTTATAGACATTTTAAAAGAATTAAAAAACTTGAATTTATTTTGTCTTAGTTTTGGATACAACGTCGCAAACATTTCATGCATCAGTCTATCTCGTAATATTGCGTGCACCCAAAATTCTCTTTGCCTCTGCCATCGTCTTTTATAGCGACGATAGAGGAGCCACACACAAGCAATCACTTCCACATCCATTTCCAAATCGAGCCAGTGCGCACGCTCCGCTAAACGCTTGTCGAACGCTGGGCTAACGCGCGTTTAAAAACGCCTAGTGTGTACACAGCCTAACAGTTGTTCATGATGAAGATGTTTTTAGAACTGCAGAACTGCTTGAAAGTTCCCCCTCTTTTGTCGAATTTGTCACCTCCCCAAGTTGGGGAGTGCGAGTTAATATCCCCAGCAAGAATAATGTTTTTGTTGGGGATAACATTAATTATCTTATTGATTTCTTGTAATATGTCTTAATGATTGATTTCTTTGGGACAATATATGTTAATTATGAGCAGTTTAGTGTCCTGTCCATAAATTTCACAGTAGGTAATGTATTGGTTGCTATGATTTTTGTGGAATAAAATAGGTATGTTCTTATTTTCCAGAATAATAATGCCCCATGGGTATTCATTAGTTTCCTGAAGTATTATACTTTTAGTGGGTGAACAAGCAGGTTTATTGTTAATACAATATGGTTCTTTGTACAAGGACCACATTGTAGATTTGAAGTTTTGTCGAGAGCAGCAAGGTGGCGTCTCTTTCTCTGCCAAGGTTTATTTGCAGGATACTAATTGTATCTTTAATTTTTTGTTCCATAGTCTGTTTTTGCAGTGATTATATTTTTAATTTTTTGATAAATGGGGCATATGTGGTCTATTGCATTGTGACTAGTATTTATAAGTCTTTCTGCCACTTTCATCTAACTGATGAAGATTTCTCTTACCTTGTTCATCACCATTCATCTGCAGACAATTATTTTTCTGTCACTGATCTTCTTGCATTCTCCTTCTGTCAGCCTCTTCTCTTCACTCTTATTCTTGATAGCATTAGGAGCATTACACTTGTTCTGCCACTTGTAAATTCACTTTGAATGCACTTTGAATTTCTGTGCTGCTGTTTCTCTAGACTTGTTCTTTTGCATATGCAGCTGTGCTTGGTTTGAAGGCAATGCCATAAAGCCTCTTGGTTGCCATTCCAATTGATACCTAGTTCACTGATTTGTACAAAATGAAGAGTTTGAAAACAGAAAATGCAGGAAGTTGCACTCACTCACATATTGTTTACAGTGTACTTCAGTTATGCTTTGTCATTGTAAAAACATACTTCAAGGTTTTTGTGGGAAAATTACTACAGCACATACCAAACACTCTTAAACTTTGTCAGCTGCACATAAGAATTTAACGACATCCAGCATCTATTTAGCAGTTTAAACTAAATAGTCCGCATTTATAAGTGACCTGACATATATTGAAGGATTTACAATATTCAATTTTATATAAGTATTGAAAATTTAAATTATTAAACAAGATAAATATATTTGTATTTTCCAGTTACAACTGAATTATATTATTGTGTGAATTTTTAATTAATTAAATTAATCTAATGGTTGAAGTTTTGAACTTTGTTTTATTTTTGCCTCTGTTATAACAAAAATAATGTTTGTGGAAATGTTTTATTTAAAATTTTTTATTATTTTAATCTGAGATGGAAATAAAATATTATTTGTTTTCAGATGATTCTGTATCTGCAGACATTAAATTAGAAGCTGAAAGTGAAAATGGTTCTGTAGAAGATATTCCATCACATATTGGACCAAATACATATCATCCAAAACATGCTCTGAAAATATCTATTAATGAGTGGCTACCAGAATTTTATCGCACTAAAAATGCTTATGGGCAGGTAATACCAGCTCCATTTGTTCCAGCTCCAATTCCTGCTTGCCCTCCTCCAATGTTAAACAGTGTACTTTCCATTGCAATGGCTCCTCCTGGAACTCAACCAATTTTACCAGGAGGTATGCCACCAAATGCTCTTGCACCAGACAATTCTACTTTCCAGCCATTAAGTAATGAATTAGTAAATTCTCTTATAGCACCAAGACCAGTTCCAGAAGTCAAAGAGGATGCTATTTTAGAGCCAATGGACTGTAATCCCTCCCCAAGTACATCACCTAAACATAATGATTCTCGTATGGATCAACCAGTTAGTCTTGATGGTGAATCAAAAGACATTTCTAATAATGAAGAACAACAAAATGGTGGCTTAGAAAGTATTGATACTGCTGAAGAAATGCAGACTGAAGCAGTTGATAATGCAAACCCAAATGATGAAGATGATAGACAATTGACATCTGAAGATATAGCTTTACTTGTTGATCTTTTTTATTTGCCTTTTGAACATGGAAGACAAGGTGTACAATTTTTACAAGAATTTTTTTGGTTAAAAACACATGGTCACACTGTGTCTGAAAATAGGAGGAAAACTAAAGCAGAAATGCAAAATCCAGAAGTAGAAGAGTGGTACAGCAGAGCCAGTAAATTTGATCAGATGACACAAACTGTTGGAAAGTTACTAATTCGTCTAACATATTGTCAGAATCGTTCTTTGCTATATGATTTATATCCATATATCTGGGATATCAAAGGTGTTATATCTTTGCTTAACTCCTATGTAAAGTGGACAGGTAAGCATTTTATATAATTTAATGATGAATTTTATGATTAAGTTTTTGATGCTACTGTGATTTCCTACAAGCAGTTTGAGACAATATTGGTTTAATTAATTTTATTTCAGTTTAATAAAACTAACATCCCATTTCCTTGCCTACTATTTAAATTGCAAATTATAAAACGAAGTAATTTGGGAAAAGGTGTTAAAAAGTTTTTAAGTACATTTTTGTTAAATATTATCATTACTATCAAACCAAAAAATAACTTCAAACAATATTATGTAGTTAAATTAAGAATAATGAAGAAGTGATATTTATAATTTCATTTATGTAAAATCTAATTTTGTATTTTGACCATTTTTAGTTATTAGCAGTGAATATAATTTTTATATTTTAAGCAAAATGTACATACTGGGAGATCAAATGAAACTGTTACTTGCAAGGAGTTTTAAATGTTTGATAAATAAATATTTCTTGCAACATATAGCAAAACAATAAAAAGTATGGTTAGTTTAGTGTTACCAAGCCTACTCCTTAGGAGTAAATCGTTTTTCCTCCTGATCATCTGGTATTAATATCAATCTGTTTTTGTTTAATTAAATATTAAATTATATGATGTTGTTATCTTAATTATATAATGTAAAAATTTATACAGATATATTGTATGAAGATGACACATTATAATTTACATGAGGATAAAATGTAAAATTATGTTAATAAATATTTTCATGGAAAAAATAGAAATTTTCATAGCTTATGCTATAAAGTGAATGGTTTGCTGTTTTTATTTAGAAGTGAGTGGTATTAGAGTTAATCAAATGATCATATTATAATATCAATTTAAAATTGCGAGTTTTGTAAACAGAATTTGATAGTTAGGCACTTCCTGTCAGAAGAGTTTAATTCTGTTGCAGTGTACATGTTTCTGGAGAATTGTATAGTATATATAAAGATGTAACAGTAAAGTATTTCATTAGTTGTGAAATAAAGTTCATTAGTTGTGAAATAGATCTTGAATCACAGTAATAAAAAATGCCTAGATTTAAGAGACTGAAAATAATTATATTACAACTAACAGATAAAACAATGCAACCACAGTGAAAATCTATAAAGGCATTATTAATCATTAGAAATATACCAACATTAAACAGTAATTTTTGTTTTATAACAAAAAAAAAGAATTTCAGTTGTTTTTGTGTTAAAAACAATTAATTTTAAAGATTTTTATCTAAAATCTTTCTGCAATAAAAAATATTTATTGGTCTTTTATGAATAAATGTTGCTTGGTAATTTAATTAGACAATGTTTATTATAATTAAACATTAATTAAAAATGCCAGGACAAAAAATTCTAATATATAGAAGTACCACGTAAATATCTTCTTTCATAACGTCTTTTACATATTTCAGGAACAAACAGTCATTATGGCAGAGTCAACCTTCCTTTATAAAACTTTTTCCATCTCCAGTATATGGTAGTTGGCCCTTCTATGAATTAGAATTTTGTAATGTATCAATTTTTCATGCTGGCATTTTTAATTAATTGTGTTTAATGTTTAATTGTCAATTAATTTTATATGATTGTGCCAAAACTTGGGAATATTTTACTACCATTTTTACATATTCAGGCAGGGAAAGTAGCCTATAAAGGAAGGTTGACTCCATTGTAAAGACTATTCGTGAAGTGTGTAAAGGATGTTACTAAAGAAAGAAGACACTTATGTTGTACTTCTATGTATTAGAATTTTATAATGTAATGTTTATTATGTAAACTAGTCAATTAATTTTATATGATTGTGCCAAAACTTGGGAATATTTTACTACCATTTTTACATATTCAGGCAGAGAAAGTAGCCTATAAAGGAAGGTT